CACATAAGCAAAAAGAAAAAAGCCGGAAGTGGCGCTGTGGCTCAAGTGGTAGAGCGCTAGCCTTGAGCTGAAGAGCTGAGAGACAGCGCCCAGGCCCAGAGTTCAGGCCCCACGACTGGACCCAAAAAAATTATTTTTAGTCATGATAAACAATTGAAAGTTATTAATAGAGGGGATAAATTCAAGAATACTGAAAAGACCTCACTTATTTGATAATATAAGGCATGCACATCACATTTATACAAGTAAATCCATTTGAATGTCATAAGGGTAGATACTATTATCCAAAATGTAAAAGAAAACAATTAGTCCTGCCTAGGATTAAACTGAATTTGCACACATCTCTCCTGGAAAGTAAGTGCTCTTTTGTATAACCCAAGGTAAAGGTATATATAGTAAAGGTGTAATATAGCTATAATAGAAACACAAATATTTACAAAATTTGTTACATATGTCACAATATTTATAGTTTGCTGGAGATAATCTAAACAGCTGTTTGATTTAAAACAACAACAAAAGCTGGGCCTTGATGGCTGAAACCTATAACCCCAGTTACTCAGGAGTCTGAGATCTGGAGACTGCGGTCTGAAGCCAGCCTGAGCAAAAAAGTCCATGAGACTCTTAGCTCCAATTAACCACTAAAAAGCCAAAGCAGAGTTGTGGCTCATGTGGGAGTACTATGAGCCTTGAACAATATGCTCAGAGACAGTGCCCAATTCCCAAGTTCAAGTACCAGGCCAGCACTAAAACAAAACCTACCAAACAAAACCCTCAACACTTGCATGTTTAAGAAATTGAGAGAAAATAGAGACCATGCCTCCAATAAGCAGTAACACAGAGAAGAGGAAAGAAGGTGGCTTTTAAGAATGAATGGTAGAGGAAAAACTGGGAGAGAAGGAGAGAGTGACACTGTTCAAAAGGAAATATACCTATCACCTGACTTATGTGACCATAACTCTGCACATCACCTTAACAATAAACTTTAAAAAAGAAAAAAAGAATGAATGCTATAGTGATATGCCTTTTCTTCCCATGCCACAAAACCCAACATGCATAACTACTGAAAAGTTGAATAGTAATTATGAGTGATGAGAAAGTTAGAATTTCACTCTAATTTTGGCCAAGACTGTTCGTAAAGAAGGTAAAAATGACTACTTGTTTTAGGGTTAATAATGAAGTTATTTTTTAATAGTGGGGTTTATTTTTTATTGTTATTATTTTGGTGTTGCTCTGAGCTACAAAATAATTTACAGACCTCAAGATGGTAAATTGAAAACATTTTTGTGTTTTCAGACAACACAAGGACTCCTTATGTCAAGGAGTTTCCGTGAACATCCATACAGCGTAACAACCAATTCCTCACAAAGATTATCTTTACTTAATGTTACAGCTATATAAGTGAAAAATGGAATTGTTTCTAAATAATACCATCATTTTCTCATTTTGTGTAATTTCTTCCCACTCATTTTTAGGAGGAAAAAAATCAAGAAAAATATTCTCTCCATGTAACTTATGCATAATTGCTTTAGTATTTTGAAAATAGCGATGACAACATTCAACAAAGGAGCTGAGGGTTTTTTTTTTTTTAAGCATCAATCATTTTCTCAGCAGGAAGAAACAATGTAAGCTAAGTATAGACCGTGGAGCACTGATGCTTCCTTCCGCTCAGCTCGGTTTTCCAGGAGAATGCTATCTGGGTTTCCTTCAAGAGCGGGGAGGCTCCCAGCTGCCACCCTGCCCACAGGTATCAGAATCAAGACTGTCTGGTCAGAAGTGCTGATAACTGCCCCCAAGCCAGGTCAGTTAAACCAGGTGAGTTGTGATCCTTTCAAAGGCTGTTAATTTGCTGCATCTCTGAGCCTTTGACCCTTTAAGGACAGCATGGAAAACCCAGCCAGGCCCACACAACAACCTTTTAGCAGCTCTTTGACCAGAGGAAGCAAGGCTTAATATAGAAATCTGAAAAGAAACATACTTACCCTTAGCCCTTAAGATTTTATTCATTTATTTTTTGCTGCTGGTAGTAGGGCTTGAAATCAGTACTGGGAGCTCTTATAATCAACCTTTTGCTCAAGACTAGTGCTCTACCACCTGAGCTACACACCCACTTCTGGCATTTTACTGGTTAAATGGAGATACAAGTATCTCAGATTTCTCTTTGGGCGGCTTTGAAGGAAGAACCTCAGATCTCAGCATTCCAAGTAGCTAGAAATTATAAGTGTGAGCCTTCTATGCACAGCTTAATTTCTTTACCTTTCTCCTTGAAAACAAAACTAAACTAAAATGTGCACTGCCCTTGTTAACATACCATGTTTCTTTTCTTTTTAACTTTCACTTTCTCATGAATCAGTGAGAGTCAAAATGGAGAATGGTTTGTATATTTCAATTCTAATTGACTTTGGAGCTATTACTACCCCAAACACAGAACTGCCAATCTGGTGGGTTCAGATGCCTAGTATCTTCTTTTTAGTAGTGGAATCTGCCCCCATGACTATTAAAAAGCTAAACTTCATACAGGTTTGGCAGGTTATATATATATTTTGTTGTTCTTTTTTTTTTGGTAGTCGTGGGGCGGCAGGTTATATTTTATTGGGAGCAGTGATGACTGGCCCAAAGCACAGGC